ATCACCGGTTTGCATGTTTTCTTGTTTTGTGAGTCTTCTGTGATGATCTACAATGTATAGCAGAACCAACACATACTTCAATGTAACAAAGGGGATCTGCATTATACTGCAGTGCTGACATTCAGCCACAAGGGGGCGCTGCTTCTTCTCTGGCTGAGATGGGTTTGTTTTTTTGAGGTGAGCTTTAAATAAAAGGAGCTCTGCACTGTGTCATGTTTTCCTGGCTGGTTGGGAGGTTATAATCTATTTTTAATGTACAATAATCTATTATTAATTATCTTTGATGTATGCTGTGCACTCGCAGCTAGCGCCTTCCTTCCTTCTCAATCAACGTACAATGAGCGCACGTTCAAATAGCCTTTGGGGTCCTTCTCATGGCATGGGGGTCCTTCATATGTCATTAGGGCTCCTCCATATGGTATGGGTGCTCCTTCTTATGGCATGGGGGCTCCTCCTGGCATTAGGGCTCCTTCATATGGTATGGGTGCTCCTTCTCCTGGCATGGGGGCTCCTTCTCCTGGCTTTAGGGCTCCTTCATATGGTATGGGTGCTCCTTCTTATGGCATGGGGGCTCCTTCTCCTGGCATTAGGGCTCCTTCATATGGTATGGGTGCTCCTTCTCCTGGCATGGGGGCTCCTTCTCCTGGCATTAGGGCTCCTTCTTATGGCATGGGGGCTCCTTCTTATGGCATGAGGGCTTCATCTCATAGCATTGAGACTCCTTCTCATGGTATTAGAGCTCCTTCTCATGGCATGGTGGCTCCTTCATATGGCATGGGGGCTCCTTCCAATGGCATGGGGGCTCCTTCTCTTGGCACTAGGGCTCCTTTCCATGGCATGGGGGTTCCTTCACCTGGCATGAGGGCTCCTTCCCATGACATTAGACTCCTTCATATGGCATGAAGGCTCCTTCTCAAGGCATGGGGCTCTTTCATATGCCACGTGGGATCCTTCATATGCCACGTGGAATCCTTCTCCTGGCATTAGGGCTCCTTCATATGGTATGGGTGCTCCTTCTCCTGGCATGGGGGCTCCTTCTCCTGGCATTAGGGCTCCTTCTTATGGCATGGGGGCTCCTTCTCATGGCATATGGGCTTCTTCCCATGGCATGGCGGCTCCTTCTCATGGCATGGGTGCTCCTTCATATTGTATGGGGGCACCTTCTCATGGCATGAGGGCTCCTTCTCATGTCATGTGGGCTCCTTCTCATGGCATGGGGATTCCTTCATATGGCACGAGGACGTCTTCTCATGGCATGAGGGCTCCTTCTCATGGCACTGGGGCTCCTTCTCATGGCATGGGGTGTGTCCAACAAGCTGGAAAACCTCTGTGTGTAATAATAAGCTCTGGTGATGTCTGATGTGCTCATCACTCACCCCCCCTAGATAGCTCTGAACAGTCTGATCGTCAGCCAAGAGTCTCGCTGGGCCATCGTCTAAGAGCGGGATGAGGTCAGCGCCTAAAACATACAGAGAGTCTTGTTCTCAATCAGGCTGGCCACAGACGTTACAATCCACACGTATGATTTCTCTCTGAAACTAGTTTCACTTCACTGTGATATCTGGTTCAAATCTGCCAACCACCATCCCCCTGTCCCATCAGAGTTCCCTTATTGGCCGGTGAGGAAGCCTTGCTATACAATGGAATGGCAGCTCCGGGGCCAGGAAAGTCAGGCCCCTAGTGAGGAATGAAAACTATTTCAGAGAGGTGCACGGGTGTCATTTTCTGGCTAATAGAGGTAATAGGTGGGATCTCTTGGTGTGAATTGTTTACAAATGGCTGACAGTACAAATGAAAGCGACCTCTGCCGTGTTTTATACCGTTTTACAGCTCAGCGATTTAGCTTCATGTGACAAGGAATCTGGGGGAGGAAAACATAATACACGTCGATGTGGATTTTGTAAATGATCATTTTATGGTCGTCTTTATCAGTAATTATTCCTTCCAAATTCCTGAACAGATAACGTAAATCCCAGATAACATAACTCACCTGTTCTTATCTGGCAGCTCCGGCATAGCATCCGCCTCCGTCAGCCCCTCAATGGACCCGCACCGGGTTCTTGTTTCCTGTAAGAGATTGGGAGGGTGACACACCTGACACACCTTGTGCTATACGTGGCCACCAGCTGGGAGATACAACATATTGGGCAGATGCTTCACTGACATCATCCAAATTGTCAAGAGGTCACTCTGCACCTTCATGACCAGCTCCACTCAAAACTGGGCCAGGCAAATCACCTACTAAGGGAGTAGGTTGGGGGTTGAGACACCAACCTATGCCCTTGGCCCCCATTCACACAAGCGTGAGCTTTTTTGCATCTTTCACACACAAACACTTGTATTTGAAAGTGTTTTTCACGTGTTTTTAAGCTTCAGGCCGCACGGTTCTTGTGATGAGAATCACTGGGTTCATAGAGGTTGTTATATTGAGCATCATTAGGGTTGAAGAGGTTGTTGTACTGGTCATCACCGGGGCCATAGAGGTTCTTGTATTGGGGCATCACTGAGGTCAAAGAGGTTTTTATAATATGCATCATTGGGGTATTAGAGGTCCATGTAATGGGCAACACTGGGGTCATACAGGATCTTATAATGGGCATCACTGCGGTTGTAGAGGTTCTTGTAAAGGACATAATTGGGGTCATAGAGGCTCTTGTATTGGACATCACTGGAGTCATAGAGGTTCTTGTGATCAGCATCACTAGCACTGTAAAAGTTCTTGCAATGGTCATCACTGGGGTCATAGAGGTTCTTGTAATGGTTATCCCTAGGGTCGTAGAGGTTCTTGTATTGGGGTATCACTGAGGTCAAAGAGGTTCTTGTAATGGGCATCATTGGGGTATTAGAGGTCCATGTAATGGGCAACACTGGGGTCATACAGGATCTTATCGTGGGCAACACTGGGGTCATAGAGGTTCTTGTAAAGGACATAATTGAGGTCATAGAGGCTCTTGTATTGAACATCACTGGAGCCATAGAGGTTCTTGTGATCGGCATCACTAGCATTGTAAAGGTTCTTGCAATGGACTTTACTGGAGTCTTAGAGTTTCTTGTAATGAGCATCACTTGGGTCGTAGGAGTTTTTTTTTATAATGGGCATCACTGGGGTCGTAGGAGTTCTTGTAATGAGCATCACTGGGGTCATAGAGGTTCTTGTAATAGGCATCACTGGGGTCATAGGAGCTCTTGTAATGAGCATCACTGGGGTCATAGAGATTCTTATAATGGGCATTACTGGGGTAACAGAAGTTCTTGTGGGCCGCCTCCAGGTGGTTGAAAGTCTATACATCCAGCATGCACACTCCTGAATCCTCCATGATGTTCGCAGGTCTGGGGTTTGAGGTCGGCTTAATCCCTAAACAAACCCAATCATTATAATGCCGATATTACTTTTGCACCAGAACAAAGCTCCGTCTTTACATATCAACTCCACCACAATTTGGTGCCAGCATAGAATATACCAAGTGCCTGGAAGGGTAAAACCTGCCCCTGAATACAACCAACAAGATATCTCTATATCCACCTCAACAAGCACGGGTCCGCAGCGTTCCATCACCGTGTACAGTATGGGAGGGGTATGCGGGGGAGTGAAGTGCAGAATATGTTCAATATATCAGCAGATGGGGATCAATGAACGTTACGCATTACCTTCTATATTAACCCCGTATTTCCCTGTCGGCTCCCATCCCACCAGACCAGAGGGGGGCGCTATGGAAGGAATGAATGTGACATCATTGAAAGGAGTTATTATATGAGGTCAGTGAGTTCTTCCTTATTATTACACACACAACATATGGCAGTGGGGTGTGATCACCATACACACAGCTATATATATGTGTAGAAGGAGAGATAAGCGCATCCATTGACAGGGTGACGACAGGTGAGTGATGCCTGCATGGTCTGTGGCTGAGTCCTTGTACAGGGACTGGGCTATTGTAATATATGCGAGGCAGTGGCGTAACAATAGCCATAGCGGCCCAGGCGGCTGCTATGGGTCCTAGGGGTGTAAGGGGGCCCCAGTATGGATCGCAGATGTTGCTGCGCACACTGCCAATATTATTCAAGAAGAGCTGACATCAGATGTACAGGGTGGACTATGCAGGCAGCCCTCCTGCTACCTCACTTGAATATTATTGACAGAAGGGAGGTTGCTGGGGGCCCATAGAAATCTTGCTATGGGGCCCCATGATCTGTGGTTATATATATATATATATATATGGGAGGCTGTGCTGTGATTGGTACTCATGTTGTATATTTTGTTGCCCTTGCTAAGATTATAAGCTTAGATCAAACGCTGGAATCATCCTGTAAGGGGGGGTCAGTGCTTTCATAAGGGGTATCTTAGTTGCTGGTGGAGTTTGATGGGCTGACCTCGTACTTATGTTGGGGGCAGCATCAAGATCTCCATGAGTCCCTGTGTGCCGGTCTGGCTTCTCACTTCTCATCCTGCAACAAAGATCTTTTGGCTGCATGCTCTATCTGCAATATACTCGGACATATGATCCATATGCACTGCTGGCGCCATGTCTGATGATCTCTCACTGAGATCTATGCTGGAGGAAGGACCCTTTCCATCGCTATTCATGGTAGATGAAGCCCCAGTGGACTCACACACCATTGAGAGTACGAACAAGGCTTAGAGAAGCCAGGTAGTACTACTGACCAAGCTTTCACCTGCCATTAACAATGGAATCTCAGGGTCAGGCTTTTTTAAGAGGGTAACAGGTTGTCCTCCCAGGGTGGTCTGTATTGGTGTATAAATGTTGATTTTGGTTTGCTAACAACCTCTAGGTGACAACTGCTAAATCCAGGATGCTGACTCTCCTGTGTGCGTGCTTCCTGCTGGGCTCCACAGCGGCATCTAGTGGTGAGTATGTGTTATTATAGCACCCTATACAGACATTGTTTTAGTGCATGAGGATTGATAGTGATGATGGTGATGATGATGGTGATGATGATGGTGATGATGATTATTGATTAATGATGTTGAGGGAACTCAGCTCAGGGATGGTGGGAGCCCCTCAGAATGGGCACAGCAGGTGTACAGACCCGGGACCTCAGCTCAGGGATGGGGGGTACCCCTCATAATGGGCACAGCAGGTGTACAGACCCGAGAACTCAGCTCAGGGATGGTGGGAGCCCCTCATAATGGGCACAGCGGGTGTACAGGCCCGGGAATTAAGCACCGGATGGTGAGAACCCCTCATAATGGGCGCAGCAAGTGTACAGACCCAGGACATCCGCTCAGGGATGGTGGGAGCCCCTCATAATGGGCACAGCGGGTGTACAGACCTGGGAACTCAGCACAGGGATGGTGGGAGCTCCTCATAATGGGCACAGCAGGTGTACAGACCCGGGAACTCAGTACAGGGATGGTGGGAGCTCCTCATAATGGGCACAACAGGTGTACAGACCCGGGAACTCAGTACAGGGATGGTGGGAGCCCCTCATAATGGGCACAGCCGGTGTACAGACCCGGGAACTCAGCACAGGGATGGTGGGAGCTCCTCATAATGGGCACAGCAGTGGTACAGACCCGGGAACTCAGCAGAGGGATGGTGGGAGCCCCTCATAATGGGCACAGCAAGTGCAAAGACCTAAGAACTCAATGCAGGAATGCTGGTAACCTCTCATAATGGGCAGATCAGGTGTACAGACCCGGGAACTAAGTATAGAGATGGCGGGAGCCCCTCTATGCAGGCTTGGTATGCAGACCCAGGAACGTAGCAAATACTGAAATATCTTTTTTGGGGGGGGGGGGAGAGGCTCACCCTTACAGGTCCCCTCTGTCTACAACATAGTAGATAAGGTTGAAAAAACACACATTCTCCTGTGGAAGACTCTTGCCTCCCTGACTGCTCTCCTCTTTCACACCCTTGTAGTTCAGTCGCGGCTCTCTTCCTACGCTGGGGAGTACGGAGCAGGTGGAGGAACGGCTTTCTCCTTCTCCAATGAGCAACTGAACGGGCCAATATCAGGCTTACGCATCAGGGAGAATCCCAGCCATGTGATTGGGTAAGATCCTGCAGGCTAACACTTTTCTATTACACTGAATGTCTCTAGCATATTTCCATACCTCCCAACCTTCTGAGATGGAAAAAAAGGCACACCTGTAAGCAAAAATTATGTATGGAGAGGACACACTCGTGCCACAGTGTAAGCCGGGGTGCTGCGCTTGGTTGTGTGTGCTCCACCTTTTAATTGGTCTTTAAGTTGTGTGAAAATGTGAAAATAACACAAACTAAATACAGTGCCAGTGATCAAATCCTAATTGCGGCTGTATAATGAAAATACAAGTCGAAAAAAGGAAGGTAAATGTGTTCGTGAATAAAAAATTATTAAATATTAGATAGATAGATAGATTTATTTGTCACATACACAATCGTACAAGTATGATATGCAGTGAAATGCTTACACAACTGCAAAAGAAGAAAGAAAGAATACATTTTAAATAAAACTTTTACATTGTAAAATAAATATAAGTGTTAAATGTAAATGTTAAAATTTCAATTTGACTAAAAATGCTAATACAATATGGAATGTAAGTGTGCATGAAAGTTGGAGATCCACTGACACATAGATGGGCTAATCCCCAATTAAGTTAACAATGTGAATATCGCAAAATATGTGTAGCATGTGTAAATAAATAAAATATAATATTGTCGTGTGAAAACAAGTTATATTGTGAAAATAAAATCTGGTTGAAAATTGTGTAAACAGGTGAATTATGAAGACTTTTTCAAAAGGGGGGACTTTTTCACCCCTTTTGAAAAAGTCTTCAGGACGAAACGCGTAAAGGGAGTGCTCCGTTTCCTCGCTGACACCCTGGGAAGAGGTTCTACACAGGTTGCATATGCTGTTTTACCAACGGAAGTTTGTAAGTGCAATCATTTTTAAACTTTTTAAATAAAGGATCTTGCATCTGCACTTAAATCCTGTTTTTTCTTCTATGGTCGGTTTCCCCCCCCTCGTTTCCTGGCTGATCTCTCCGGAGGGTTCTCCATCCATACTGGAGGCTGTCCAAACACCGCCGATGAGAGGAAGTGCAGCATGACGGCAGGAGAGGGCAGAGAGACTATTATTGAAGAATTTTTCCCTGTGCGGACTCATCAATAGAACTATAAGTAAAAGACACTTGACTTCCAATGTTGCTCGGAGGAAAATAGTATCTTGCTGCTTACAATCCCCGATCATACACCTCTATATACACTATATTTTATTCACCTTTTATATCAGTAGATGTGTTTTTATAAGATTTTTGTGCACTTTGGCTTGTAGCCTTTGACTGGCCATATAATTAGTTTTTATTCCATTTTTTTTTTTTTATTGCCAGATGGAATAATTCACCCGTTTACACAATTTTCAACCAGAATTTATTTTCACAATATAACTTGTTTTCACACGACAATATTATATTTTATTTATTTACACATGCTACACATATTTTGCGATATTTACATTGTTAACTTAATATTTAATAATTTTTATTCACGAACACATTTACCTTCCTTTTTTCGACTTGTATTTTCATTATACAGCCGCAATTAGGATTTGATCACTGGCACTGTATTTAGTTTGTGTTATTTTCACACAACTTAAAGACCAATTAAAAGGTGGAGCACACACAACCAAGCGTAGCACCCCGGCTTACACTTGATCACGTTGATAGATATTGCTGCAGCTGGTTAATTCCTGTAAATATATCCTAGCACAACTACCCTGGTTACACTCGTGCCACAGCCATTGAAAATTAATATGCCAAAAATGTTTAGTTTAACCCAGTAATAATTTTTTTTTTGCCACTATGTCTCCTTTATACTGGGCTGCTCAAAATAACAAATGCAATGTATATAGAGGTCACATGAAAGGTTTAGTGCAGGAAAGCACTTTCAGGCCTCATTCACACCAGATGCATCGCGTTCCGGCCCGATTCTGGCCAGAACGCACTGCCTCGCATAGCGGCCGGCTCACTTTTTTTGTGGGGCAGGTGGGGGCGTGGCCGGCCATTGAAGTGAATGGCACCATAGCCATGCCCTCCGGCCGCACAGGATCGCAAGGCACATTGTGCCTGCGGTCCGGTGCGATCAAAATAGTGCTTGCAGCATTTTGATCGGACCGGAACACAGGCATAATGTGCCTTGCGATCCCGTGCGGCCGATCGCATTTCGGCCGGAGGGCGCGGCTGCGGTGCCATTCACTTCAATGGCCCGCCACGCCCCCTCCTGCCCCACAAAAAAGTGAGCCGGCCGCAATGCGAGGCAGTGTGTTCTGGCCAGAATCGGGCCGGAACGCGCTGCATCTGGTGTTAACGGGCCCTTAGAGTTGAAGCCCGTTATAAGCTTCAGTTCCATGTGCATCAAAACAAAGTCTTCAGCTTCTTTTTAAAGTCGAGAAGCCAGAAAGTGTTACATGGACACATTACACGCATGTATTTACTTAACATGGGAAGATATATCTGATGCTTGGTTCCTGGCTGGTGAGCAATGTTAACATTCACATGTGAAGATGCCATCATGCTTTGTAGGCTTTGATTTCAACATGACATCACAACCCTTGGAAGCATTACAATCCCTCTGGTGCTTTTCTTCATGTGTTCATATGTTTCCCTCCAGGATCCAGATCCAGTATGGTGGCACCTGGGGGCCTTATTATGGAAACCCCTCTGGTACCCTCTTCGAGGTCTTGCTGCACCGTGGTGAGAATATCACTCAGGTGTCGGGGAAAGTCGCCTCTTATGTGAATGAGCTGGTCTTCGTGACAAGTCGCGGGAGGATATTCAAATTCGGGCAACCATCAGGCAACAGCTTCAATGATTTTCCACTGTTTGAGGGCACCTCATTGCGCTACATTAGCGGGAGATACTCCTCCGTCCTGCACAGCATCGGCTTCCACTGGGGCGTCCAACCCAGCTGCTACTACTGCAAACAGGGATCCAAGTGAAGAGCCAGGAGGAATCGGATCCCACCAGGGCCAACCAGCAGGCCAGGATCCTTCATTGCCCGATTGCCTTTTTTTATTTTCTCTGCATTCATCATTCTCTGACACTGTGAAAAGGTTCCAAAATAAAAGGTTTTCCGAAATAATAAAGGTTTCAAATATTATTTTGTGTCCCGTTATGCCTGTACAAACTCACACGCAGTTGCCCTCTAAGCCAGCCTTTCTCAACTCTTTTACCATGGAGGAACCCTTGAAATAATGTTCAGGTCTCAACGAACCCCTGCTAAAAGTAATTTTGTATACAAATCATGGTACATTAGCCACACCACATTGGTGACCAATGAGAGTATTCTTGGGAAGAATGTCCATTATACTGGTGGTTCTTGAGAAGAATGTCCATTATACTGGTGGTTCTTGGGAAGAATGCCCATTATACTGGTGGTTCTCGAGAAGAATGCCCATTATACTGCTGGTTCTCGAGAAGAATGCCCATTATACTGGTGGTTCTTAAGAAGAATGCCCATTATACTGGTGGTTCTTGAGAAGAATGCCCATTATACTGGTGGTTCTTGAGAAGAATGCCCATTTTACTGGTGGTTCTTGAGAAGAATGCCCATTATACTGCTGGTTCTTGAGAAGAATGCCCATTATACTGCTGGTTCTCGAGAAGAATGCCCATTATACTGGTGGTTCTTAAGAAGAATGCCCATTATACTGGTGGTTCTTGGAAGGAATGCCCATTACAGTGGGTGTTCTATGAGAAGAATACCCAATATACTGTTTTTTGGGATAATGGCCTATTATACTGGTGGTTCTTACGAAGAATGCCCATTATACTGGTGGTTCTTAAGAAGAATGCCCATTATACTGGTGGTTCTTGGAAGGAATGCCCATTACAGTGGGTGTTCTATGAGAAGAATACCCAATATACTGTTTTTTGGGATAATGGCCTATTATACTGGTGGTTCTTTGGGAAGGATGCCCCATTACACTGGTGGTTCCTTGGATACTGATATACTGGTGGTCAGTGTAGTGCCCCCATATATTGGGGGACAGCGGGTAGAATACCTCCCTTTACAGACAAGTAACATGATCATTGGTGTCAGTGGTTAAATAAATAAGAAAAGAAAGGAGAAGCTCCACTGGTCCCATATTCAGATTCCCGTAGGGTTGCCACCTGTCCAGGATTCACCCGGACAGTTCGGGTTTTGAATGCTGTGTCCGGGTTTCATGGCAGCAGAAACCCGGACACAAGATGTCAGCTAGACGGGGCAACCAAAATTAAGATAGGGACTACTGGCCCCCCCACCGAAAATAGTCTCAACTGTGATATTTACATATGAATGGGGGGGGCACTATTTACATAAGCAAGGACTCGTTCTCCCCAAAAAATGTCCGCGCATCGCTCGAGTGTGTTTAGAAGAATGCCCATTATACTGGTGGTTCTTGAGAAGAATGCCCATTATACTGGTGGTTCTTGAGAAGAATGCCCATTATACTGGTGGTTCTCGAGAAGAATGCCCATTATACTGGTGGTTCTTGAGAAGAATGCCCATTATACTGGTGGTTCTTGAGAAGAATGCCCATTATACTGCTGGTTCTTGAGAAGAATGCCCATTATACTGCTGGTTCTCGAGAAGAATGCCCATTATACTGGTGGTTCTTACGAAGAATGCCCATTATACTGGTGGTTCTTGAGAAGAATGCCCATTATACTGCTGGTTCTTGAGAAGAATGCCCATTATACTGCTGGTTCTCGAGAAGAATGCCCATTATACTGGTGGTTCTTAAGAAGAATGCCCATTATACTGGTGGTTCTTGGAAGGAATGCCCATTACAGTGGGTGTTCTATGAGAAGAATACCCAATATACTGTTTTTTGGGATAATGGCCTATTATACTGGTGGTTCTTTGGGAAGGATGCCCCATTACACTGGTGGTTCCTTGGATACTGATATACTGGTGGTCAGTGTAGTGCCCCCATATATTGGGGGACAGCGGGTAGAATACCTCCCTTTACAGACAAGTAACATGATCATTGGTGTCAGTGGTTAAATAAATAAGAAAAGAAAGGAGAAGCTCCACTGGTCCCATATTCAGATTCCCGTAGGGTTGCCACCTGTCCAGGATTCACCCGGACAGTTCGGGTTTTGAATGCTGTGTCCGGGTTTCATGGCAGCAGAAACCCGGACACAAGATGTCAGCTAGACGGGGCAACCAAAATTAAGATAGGGACTACTGGCCCCCCCACCGAAAATAGTCTCAACTGTGATATTTACATATGAATGGGGGGGGCACTATTTACATAAGCAAGGACTCGTTCTCCCCAAAAAATGTCCGCGCATCGCTCGAGTGTGTTCGGGTTTTGCTTGAAGAAAAGGTGGCGACCCTAGATTCCCGTAGGAACCCGTTTAAAACAGGTTCTCTTTATTTACTGATTTATACCTAAAATACCAGAATGAGCATTTTGCTGCCAATCACACATTACAGACTTACACACATTTATGAAGGACTGGAATCCAATCTCAGGGGGCACATAGGATAAGCAGTCACACTCAGCAGGGTACAAGGCACAGAAGAGATATTTAGAAGTGGACCGTAATGGGAGGTACCCTACGTAGCCGGGACTAACCTCCAGCCAACAGAACAGCCAGAAAAAATCTCCTGTGCAAGTTTCAACTTTTTGACTGTCAATGTGTGCACAGGACCATGCACGCTTCCTCCCGCCCATCCATGTGTCGCCATCGGGCCTGGTGGACGCCCTCTCTCTGGCAGCAGACCGCAATGCACATCAGTACATTGCTAGGTATTGCTCTGCAGTACAGCGCAACTCCTTCAGCAAGGTGCATCGGGGGGGGGGGGGCATTTAGAATGAATGGCACCATCGCAAGTAGTGTGCTGCAGTAATGCACATGAGACTGTGTGAGTTCCTGCAACCCAACAATATGAATAGGACCTTACAGGTGATAAAGGCTGAACATTGGCCTCGTTAACAGTAACCAGAATTTGTAGTTTGACTGGCCGACAGACATTGTTATATCTCTATAGCCAGCATTGTCTTCATACAGGCAACACGGATAACCTGTTATTAAAATCAATTACTGTACAATAAAAAAAACAACTGTGTATAATATAGATATAGGGTGTAACCCCCTAAAATCTCAACAAGCTTCCATCTACAGATCTCGCTCACATGTGTGTACATTTTCCTTTTTTTTCTGTCTTCTCTGATGATTATTTAGCAGAACATGAATGTAACAATGGGGATCTGCATTATACTGCAGTGCTGACAATCAGCCACAAGGGGGCGCTGCTTCTTTTCTGGCTGAGAGGGGTTTGTGTTTTGCTGGGAGCTCTGCACTCAGTGTCATGTTTTCCTGGCTGGCTGGGAGGTTATAATCTATTTTTAATGTAAAATAATATTTTATTAATTATCTTTGATATATGTCGTGCTCTCGCAGCTTCTCAATCAATGAGCAACAAGGGCTCCTTCATATGGCATTAGGGCCCCTCCTCATGGCATGAGGGCTCCTTCTAATGGCACGGTGCTCCTTCTAATGGCACGGTGCTCCTCCTCATGGCATGGGGGCTCCTTCCCTTAACATGGGGGCTCCTGCTCATGGCATGGGGGCTCCTTCTCATAGCAAGAGAGCTGATTCTAATGGCATGGGGGTTCCTTCTAATGGCACGGTGCTCCTTCTAATGGCATGGTGGCTCCTTCTAATGGCACGGTGCTCCTTCTAATTGCACGGTGCTCCTCCTCATGGCATGAGGTCTCCTTCCCTTAACATGGGGGCTCCTCCTCATGGCATGGGGGCTCCTTCTCATAGCAAGAGAGCTGATTTTAATGGCATGGGGGTTCCTTCTAATGGCACGGTGCTCCTCCTCATGGCATGGGGGCTCCTTCTAATGGCACGGTGCTCCTCCTCATGGCATGAGGTCTCCTTCCCTTAACATGGGGGCTCCTCCTCATGGCATGGGGGCTCCTTCTCATAGCAAGAGGGCTAATTCTAATGGCATGGGGGATCCTTCTAATTGCATGGGGCCCCTTCTGATGGTCCTCATAGCATGGGGGCTCCTTCTAATGGCATGGGGCCCCTTCTGATGGTCCTCATAGCATGAGGACTCCTTCCCATGGCATGGGGTCTCCTTCTCATGCTCCTCTGCTCCATCAAGAGCTCCATCCCTGACCCCTAGTCAGTGACTTTGCCTAGGCTGAGATGATGTCCACAGTCTGCGGCAGGCAGGAGGAAGCATCAGAAAGTCATGTGATCAGTTCTGCTGTATTTATTACTAAAGGTGGACTGCGCCTTTAAGTGGTTTGAAGCTGAAGGTAGCATAGAAGCCCCCTTTAAATTGGGTGATATGTATACTGTGTGTGTGTATATATATAT